AAAACAATAGAATAAGGGCATTTCCAGTTAAGAATGGAGATGGCATAAGATTAATTAAGTAGCAAGCAGTTAGAACAACACTCCCCAAAATGCTTTTGGAAGATGCATATAGATCATTAAAGTCCGAGTGATTTCAATTAAATGTCTATTTTTCCTTTCGGCGACTCCATTTTGTTGAGGAGTATACAAGAAGTTTGATGCAAAATACCACGAGAGTCACAAAATGTAGAAATAGCACATTTGACATGTTCCATAGCATTATCAGATTGTAAAGTTTGTATAACATAGCCAAATTGGACCTCAATATCTTTAAAAAATAATTGAAATCTGGAAAAAGTTCATATCGGTTTTTCATTAAAAACATCCATGTCATTCTCGAATGGTCATCGACAAAGGTAACAAAATATGAAAAACCAGAATTATTGACACGACAAGCAGTCTAAAGTTGACACCGACTCCAGAAAAGGTAAAGCAGACTTCAAGTACCTCAATGAGGGATGACCTAACCTATAATGCCACTAGTGTACAAAAACATGTGAATGGAGAGCCACAACACTAGTAGACGATTGGTAATCCACGTAATAGAGGCCATTATGTAATGACCCAAACCCGAGGATCCGGATCGCTACTCGGGTCCTTTCCCGAACCCGAGGTCACATAAGGGTACTATGGTCATATCTCATTAATATAGTGATTCTAGAGTCCTTAAGGGTAAAATAGTCATTTGGCATGGTCATATATGGCTTGGGGCTCAAAAAGGGTAAAATTGTCATTTACTAGGGTAATTCAATGATTAGGAACATGTCCAGTGGTAAATATGTAATTAAACTGAAGTTTGAGGTCAAAATGCAATTACAGGACCCATCTGTGCGCACGCTTTAGTCATCCTATTGTTTAGATCAACATTCCAGTGAAGACAACAAGCTGCAGGGGGCCATCTTGTGCGCACACACGAGGGAATTGTGCACATAATTGCCCATTTGTGCGCACACATAAGATGATCTGTGTGCACACTTCAAAGGATCTGTGTGCACAGTTGGGAGCTCTGGCCAAAAACGCCCACTGCCAGTCCATCTAACCGTCTAGATGGGGGCATCTAACCAGTTAGATGGTCCCCAGATCTGATCTAACGGTTTAGATCGTGCCCAAAGTCCATGTGATCGTTTAGATCACTTCTTGAGCCTATTCCAATGCAATCTCATGGCAACCGACATGAAAAGAAACCCCATAGACATCATTTAACATACAACGATTGCATTGAATCATCAAAATAACATCATTCATTCATCATTGATCATTAAATCCTTATTTAAATATTCATACATCCTTGAAATGATAGATGCATATCCAAAAGAATAAGATTACCATTCAAGGCCTCCGTGGCCACAAATACAACGACTTCTCTTAAAGCTGACAAAAGAATTAAGGTCATTACATGTTATCAATATCCAAAAGAATGCCTTTACAAAAGATACAAAAAGATAGCAAAATAAACGTCAAGTTACGTCTAAGCATGTGGGGGCTCATCATCTACCACATCCTTGCCATTTCCTAAAAATATTAAATATAGGGTGAGCACAACGGCTCAATAGAGTTGGCCTAAAATACACGTCTTGTAATTATGTGAATCACACCCAAAACATAGAATAACAAGAGAGAGGGATCATATAATGGGGGAAATCAATCATTCATCATAATCCAAATTCCATGCCTTTCAAACATGGAAATGGAATGCCATGAAATGCACTCTCTCCATTTCTGAAACCCTTTCCGTCACAACACAACCCACACCGAAAATGTTAACACAACCCAACTAGGCGTCATGAAGGGAATTGACCAGCTATCCCTGACCCAGGGCGTCTCCCTAGCATCTTTTGGGGCGTAGGTAGTTCAACTACACATGTCCAAATTGTCTCATGCCCCCTTTCAGATTGGCTAACCCCGGCGGCGTCTCCACGGTGTCTGTTTTCACAAAACCATTTTTCAAAACCTTTCGGCCCTGCTTGGATTGAAGTTCAAAGAATAGTTTTGAAAAACAGTTTTTAGAGAATGAAAACTGAAAATAGTTTTCAGATTTTCGAGTTTGAAATTCTACTTGGTTAGAAAAAGTCCAAAACAGTTTTCGGAAACCAAAAACTAAAAAAATTGTTTAATTGTCTAAAAATAATTTTTCGAACTTAAGAAGGTAAATTGATTCGGACTAATGCCTTCTCTCTGCATCTTAGTAAAGACATCCAATGCCATTTTAGATAACCCAATTCGAGTAAAACCAGAAATAAGAATCGTCTAAGACCGAACATCTCTACTAGGAATTTCATCAAACACCTTTTGTGCATGACCCAAGTTCTGGGATTTTACATACAGACTCAAAACATAGTTCCCCACTTGCAACTGTTGGATTAAACCGTTTTTTATAACTTTGGCATGAATGGTCTATACTGTCAATTCACTAGTCGAAGAAGTTAACAAATTGGGTTTTGGGTATTCAATTCGATAGGATGCTGAAGAGTAATTCAAGTGAGATTGGAATTGTTGAATTTCAAGTAAAGAGGTACCTACGATGTTTCTAGTGAGAGAAACTAGTGAGAGAAAGTGTGGACATCTCAAATTTACATTATTGGAAAAGCAAGTGGTGCCCAGATAGCTCCATCCCATAGATAAATTGAACACTGATCTCTATTGTCAATTCATTAGCTCTGTTATCACAACCATTTTTTTTCCATAGATAAATTGAACAACAAAGGAATCACAAGCTCCAAACAATCAATAATGTCCTCCAACTAGACCTGCAATGGGCAAAGCCTCTTACGATTCACAATTTGAGCCAGATTTAGCATTCATTTATACCTAAACCCAATTGATATTCCAACTCCATTTCTATCTGAACCCAAGTGGAATTCGAGCTTTGAAGAATCAGTAATGTCTTTCTGGAGCTTGATGATCAAGTAAATTGGAAGAGAAAAAGGTAGGTGTAGCAATCGTTGTTCTGCAATATAACAATTTTAATTGCAAACTTGGCCTAAATTGGAATCGGACAATTTCTAAAATTTCCTAAATTACTGTCGCACAATTCCTGCAATTTTACTTCTAATTCATCACATCGGTACTTCGAATTCATACCAATGACTCTGAATTTTCCCTGACCTCGTGTCAATCATCTTGGTAGTGTCGCAACCCTTCGCATCGCAACCTCAGACATCAGCTCCCAACTTCAGAAGGAACTGAAAAAAGAAAGGACTTGCGAAGTTCAGCCCGTATCCAACCACCCTCGTCTACTGCGTCACATCTGCCTTGAGTCAATCGTTCTACCCGATCTGCATAAAAGAGAAGAATCCGGCCACAACCAATGAAAAACCCATGAATTCGAAGAATCCATGATCCTTAAACCCAAATCGGGAGAACTTGATGATCTAAAGATTGGGCTCCATTCCCTGAAGGCGAATCCGAAGCCTGAGAGAAAAACTCACCAACATGGGACGAAAGACGGCAAAGCGCTAGAGTTTTACAGTAGAGATAGAAAGAACGAAGAAGGTATGGTTTAGGTTTAGAGAGAGAACGTACAGTTTGGGCTTAGTGAGAGAAGCTTTTAAACGACAACCCTTTAGCGTCTTTTTTTTTTAAGCGACCTTCCCATCTCCGTGTTTTCATTCTTTCTGATAACTCCCAAAACAACTTTGAGTTGTTTTCAAAAAACCCATACTCCCTTATCTCAGTTTTCTAAAAACAGGCACAAAGCAGTGCAAAAATGGGTTTTCTGAATTTTTGACACTCTAAAAACAGAAAACTGTTTTGAGAGTGTCAATCCAAGCAGGGCCTCAAAATCAACTTTTATAAATCGTTGGAAACCATTTAAAACATACTTTCCTACCCATGAACCCAACCAATATCCATGATATGCATGCTATGTATCAAGTAATCAACATTTCTCAAGAACCTGACCTCTAACAACATTCCAATCCTGAATAGAGATCGAAAGGCCATTCACACAATAAACCTGAGAAAATAAAGTCTCCCACAGAAACCTGCTATTTATAGTCAATATAGGTAACCCATACATTTTAGTGAGTTGAATCCTTGTAAAAGTATGTTTTAAGGGAGTTCCAAAAAACACAGGTTCAATTGAGTTTTCGGTCAAAGCTCTTAGGAGTTACTTTGATCAATTGGTCAATTCTTTAAACTTCGAAAAGTCATTTCGCAAAATTGCATTTAAAATAAAACTGGGACCAAAGATCAATCTAGGTCAATTAATGTCCAAGGTAGTTTTGCTTGTGCTCTAGATATGTGATTGAGGGTGCAGAGTTTTCACTGTGTTTTTTGCAATTCTATATCTGCCTTGTCTTCAACGATTGTAGTCAAATGACTCAAGACACATTGACACATTACAACCAAAGTTTTGATTTGGAAATTGCCAACACGACTCATATACCTAACATTATCAAAAGAAGCATAGCTTGGCAAATGTTTTTAATGTTGCTGAAACTACTGTTATCACTTACTCTTTCATTGTTGCCTTGCCTCTGTTGTTGTTGCTCCTGTTGATGCTTAAGCTCCACCTGATTTCCATCTCCAGAAAATCATCCTCTAAGTTCTGTTCGGTAAGGAAAGCTGGATGCAGATTTGTTGATCTTGTCTGAAGTCGTATCTTTTTCCTGTAATCTAGATTGAAAAACAGGGTTTTGTGAGAGGAGGCTCTCAGAAACGTATAGCAGAATTTTCATGTATGCTATAGAGCTATGTAAATGCCAGATTGTAAAGCTCTTAAGGTTTTCATTTATGTAGGAATCTTCATTTAGTTACAACCAGGAAAAAGAGTCCAGATCTTTTTTGGTATTACCTAAAATTGTGCCTAGTTGCTGGTCTGCATGATTCAGTTCTTACTACAATACAGAACACTGTCTATTTCACCTGCCATATTTTGTCGTGTTGCCTTATGTTTCAGTTCCATTCCTGCTACAAATGTATGAAATTGTAATAATTTCTTATCTACAAAATTTTCCCAGGTACCACCTTTCATATTAGCCGGTGAAGAAATAGTTATTAATACTTTGGACAACACTTACATGACCAGGTGATTTTTTTATGTGTCTATAGTCTTTTAGCATTGGTATTTTTGATTTTACATCATTTCTATTAATTCTTCCATGGTCATTTTATTTATAGCCTTCATATTATGTAAATATTCCTGAATGCATTTAATTTCATGAGAAGTTTCTTGTTTTCAAAACTAGTATGTTACGTTTGGTGTGCATGAATGAAATGGAATGCAAGTGGGAATGGAATGAGAATGAGAATGGAATGGAATGGTCATTCTCATTCTATTGTTTGATTGTAAATATGAAATGTATAGGAATGAAATGATAATAACCATTCTAGTGTTTGGTTGGACCAATTTAAAATTTAGAATGGAATAAATTTCTAATTGAATTCTCCAAAATATCCCTCTTACTAACAAATAAATTAAATTAAATTAACAAAATGATATTCTCTAATAATTTTTTAAAAATAAATGATGGTAGTGGCGGTGGTGGATGGTGGAAAGCGGGTAGTAGTGTAAGTGGTGGTGTTGGAAGGCGGCGGTGGTGGCAATGGTGGAAATTGGTGACAACAGTGGTGGTGGAAGGTGGCAGTGGTGTTGGTGGAAGGCGGTGGCAGTAGTGTAGTGGTTGTGGTGGAAGGCGGTGGCAGTAGTTTAGTGGTTGTGGTGGAAGGAGATAGTGGTATGACTATGGTGGTGGTGGAAGGTAGTGGAAGTGGCGGCGGTGGTAGTGGTGGTGGAAGGTGGTGACGATGGTGGTGGTGGTGGAAGGAGGCGGCGGTGTGGTAGTGGTGGCAGTGCTGGTGAAAGTGGTGGCGGTGGCGGTGGTGGAAGGTGGTGATGGAAGGTGATAGAAGGCGGCGACGGTGGTGGAAGGTGATGGCGGCGACGTTGGTGGTTGTGGAAGGCGGTGGCTCTGGCGGTGGTGGTGAAAGGTGGCGGTGGCGGTAGTGGTGTAGGGCTGTGCAGTGGCGGTGGTGGCAGCGGTGAAAGGCGATGGCAGCGGTGGTGGTGGAAGGTGGTGAAAGGCAATGGCAGTGGTGGTTGAAGGTGGTGGCGATAGCGGGGGTGAAAGGAAGCGGCGGTGGTTGCGGTAAATGGTGGCGGTACCGGTGGTAAAAGGCGGTGAGGGTGGTGGAGAGTGGTGGGCGATGGTGAAAGTCAGTGGTGGTGGAAGGCAGTGGTAGTGGTGGTGGTGGTGAAAGACAAAGATGATTGTGGTGGAAGGTAATGGTGGTTTTTGGACTTGGAATATGAGGGTGTTTTGGGAATTTGATTTTTTAAAATAAATTACTTGGGAATGGAATGACCATTCCATAGGTTTAGTTGTGGAATGGATTTTCATTCCAATGGAATGATCATTCGCACTTTAAGTTGCATACCAAACAAAGAAATGGTTGGAATGGACATTCCATTCCATTCCATTCCTGCACACTAAACGTAGCAGTAGCGGTTGGGGAATATATGTACCTGTCCATATTTGCATCCCTGCTTACGTTTCTGCCTTTCAGTCTTCAAATATTTTTTTTTTCCTATCATCGTTTATAGGAGGGGCTGGTTACTGAATATGTGGTTGGCTTGGATTCACCACATATTAAATTACATTTTTGAGGATTTGGTACATAATTTAATTTAATTAATTAATTTATAAAAATTAATATTCCGGACAAAAAATTGAAAGAGATGTAGAATATGAAACAAATCTCAATCAATTTATAACTCGTATGAGTGTTGTGTGCAACACCAATAATTTGTCACTTATATAGATGTGCCATTCATACGATAATTGACTTTATTAGTGATATAAAATATTTTTGTGGAAGTCAAAAGATGTGCTTGAAGCAAGATTTGTCTGTTTTCACCTGTAACAGATAATTGAGGTGCCATAGTATGGTTAATTTTTTTATTTTTATTTTTTGTATAGTATACATATTGTTTTAACTAGAGAGAGAAGTCATTATTGCGGTGGCATTGTCATAATATTGGCTTTTAAATTATATAAAGTGTAGAATTGAGATAAATGAATAATATATATTTGTCATATCCTTTTTTGTGGCCACATTCTTCGTTTTCATTTTTCTGTTTAATTTTGTCATAGGCCTGGAACTGTTGTTGCTCACTGTTGCTAATAATATTCACATTCCTTTTCTCAGGGCATAGGAGTAATTTTATACCCTGCCCCAGATTGAGACAGTTACGCGCCGTACTTGACCAGAGTTTTGCAGTTCTCTCTAATGGAATCACTACCTATACCCACTATTGTTTGTTTGTGCAAATGATTTGGAAGCTTACTATTATACATTTATAGGTTGAGATATATGAGTAATTTTTATACACTATCGTAATAGAATAATGAGGAGAGAAAAATCTCATTTTAGCAAGAAATTGCTGTTTCACTAGAAGTGATTAGCTCAAGTTGGTGGAAAAGCGTGGAAGATAGGCATGACAATTGTCTTTTCTAGTCATGTTTCTACATTTGTGGATGCCATACTGAATGAAATGACCGTTTTTTGGACTGGGTTTTATTGAGCATTGCATATTGTGTGCGCGCGCTATTGTTAACCATCAAGTGGATGACCTCACTGACACAGGGAGAAATTGGCAGCTTAAGGTAAAATGGAGGTCTATGTTGACCCTTAAAAATCATCGTTAACCTTTATAGGTCTGGTTTACATCTGTAATAGGGACATGATTGATTTGTAACTATAGAAACAGTTTTTTGATTACTGTTATCAGAAAGCTGAAAATAGAAAACAGTTAAAAAAGTCTGGTTAGTTCAGTTTTTTGAAAATTCAATTATAAAAATGTGTGTTTTCAGAGAATTATAAAAGATTGTTCTTGAGAACAGTTTTCTGAGTTCTTGAGAACTGTTTTCTAAGTTATAAACTAAACAAGCTTAAGTTCTTTAAGTCCATAATTTTTAAAGTTTCTGCTGTAATAGAATATAATGAGGAGAGAAAATTTTTATTTTACCAAGAAGTGTTTAGCTTAAGTTGGAGGAAAAACGTGAAAGAGAGGCGTCACAATGGTCCTTTTCTAGTCATGTTTCTATATTTGTGGATGCCATTCTGAATGGGGCTGAATCACTTGTAGTGAGGCTCCCTTGCAATTTCTTGCTGTAACTTTTAAGTGGTTCATATTTGGCCACGTCATTCTTCAGCTAACGGACACTAAGGCCGTGTTTGGCTAATTACACTGCTATTTATAAGTAATATTTTACTACCATTTACAAGTAAAATCACATAGTTTAAAAAGTAATGTCAAATATAAACATAATTCAATTCAACATACTATTTATGTTATTATTTGAAATTAAAAGTGGTGATATTTTTTTTTACAAATGGTGATGTTACTTTTTAGACTCTGTGATGTTATTTATAAATAGTGTTGAAATGTAAAAATAGTTTAAAAAGTAATATCACCACCATTTATAAGTAACATCACAGAAGTCTAAAAGTAATATCACATAGTCTAAAAAGTAACATCACCACGTTTTGAGGGTGAAAGATACTTATAAATGGTGGTGATGTTACTTTTTAAACTATGTGATATTACTTTTAAATTTCTGTGACGTTACTTAAAAATGGTGGTGAAATGTTACTTATAAATAGTGGTGCAATTGCCAAACACAGTGTTAGTGTCTATTAAGTGGAGTGAAATGTGGCTAAACTAAGGCCACTTACTGCTCACTGTAGGAAACAGCATGGGAATTGCACAGCAGGTGATTTGCGCCCGAATGAATGAAGCAACCCTTTTTTGGACTGGGTTTTATTTAGTCTTGCATATTGTGTGCGCGGGCTATTGTTAATCATCAAATCATCGATAACCATTACAATTAGACAAGGATTCTCTCTAGCGCTGGACCTTTCTTGCACAGAATTCAGTAGTTGAGATTGCATCATCACTAGTGAGTCTCCTTTATCAATTCGTTCTCACCTATTGGATTCTGTGCCGGAGTGGTCCAATGTGGGAGTGGTGTCAAACCGTACATGAGAAGAGCAAATTCCACAAAAACCTATTTGAACTATTATTATTATTATTTTTTCCCCTTAAAAATTTCTCACCTCTTTAGATAAACCTAACCCATTGAACCGATCTTTTGAATTAAAAAAAAAAAAAAAAAAAAAATCACCTTTACTATTGGATCATCATTAGGAAACTAACTGTAGTATGCTATGTGAATAGTATGCCATATGTAAAATGTATGGCCTAAAAGATCTTTCGGTTTACACCATTTTTTTTTTTCTCAAGCAATGTTTCAATCCTTCGGTTTACACCATTTTTCTTTTTTATCATGTTGGGTCTGTTGGGAAACGTGCTAGTTTTAAAAACTTTTCGAGGGATTTAAATTCATAGATCTTGATTCATCACATAGAGACAAGTTTTATGCAAAATAAAATAAAATATGATGTATTATTCAACTAAAAGATTGAATACTTACATCAAGGTTTGAGTAAACCTCAGATCTCTCCTCTAAAGTGAATGTTCTCACTTATTGTAGATCCCTTTTGCTAGATGCATTCTCCTTGGATCTCCATCTTCTTGGTAATTGTTTTGCCTTTAGGAATCACTCATATGCCTCCATGAATGACCTTGGAAAACTAGGCTTGTGGGAGCCTCTATTAGATGAGACCATAAACCCTAATTTTCTAGAGAGAGAAAATTTATTCCTTTTTCCTTCTCATAAAAATCACCCCCTAAAATATACATAAACCATGTATATTTATAGGCAACATAAAAATAAAGAAAAGGAAACAACAAATCCTTCTCCATCTCTAATTCATATGTCTCAAATCTAATATGATTCCAATATCAAGTTGGGTTATGAGTGAGAATCCATTGGGCCTATTATTTTATTGGCTACAATGAATTAATAATTGGCCCGGTCCATGGACCCAATTCAATTAATTCATAAATTAATTTCTACTCCACTAAAAGAAATTAATTGAACTCCAATTAAATAATAAATAACCTCTAAGTCAATATTGCACTTTGACCCCTCTATGCATAATTAGTTATCGGATAAATATAGCCATCAATCCGACTACTTAATTAATATATTTATTTTGGTACCTTTGATTATTTCTGGCTCGATCACAATAAAACATTTGTTTGACAAAAATAATAATTTAAATAAATAAATATATAATAAATCATTTTGTCTAAAAACACACGAAGGCCTTCGAATTTACTTTGTGATCAACCATAATCAATACAAAATAAATACAAGTAGCAATGATGCAAATATTGAAAATATAACCCTCTAACTATTAATTACATAACTACCCAAAGTGTCGGTCTAAGGATCCCGAAAAATCCGCCGAACAAATCAAAGTAATTATTAATTAATAAAAGAGTCTATAATTTTCTCATGCTTAAGAGTCAAATGCCATGACGGTGATAGGGAGTAATTGCATACGACGGCTCTCGCAATATATCTCAACCTAACGCGGATCCAGTTCAAGTCTTAATTAATTATGAGTCCATCCATAATTACCGACTATGAACAATTTATAATTACTATTTATATATCATGCATTGATTGCCATCACATACATATATATAAATATTTCTTGTAATTACATGGACACTATCAATTTCATAGTGAATCGAAACATAATACATTGAATTCACCAATTATATAAATCATAAATATTTCAGATATGTCAGGAACATATGTCACTATAATCCAGATAGGAATTTGCTATGCCAGGGCATATAAATCCCAACAGCTCCCACTTGCCCTCATAGCCAATTCAAATTACACCTAACTCCAATGTTATCCAGATGATGATCAAAATTATTGATCAATGACACCTTCGATAATGGATCAACAAAGTTGTGTTCCAATGCAATGTTCTAACTACAAGTGCATTTTCTTGTCGGACAATATCATGTAGAACATGATACTTCCTCTCAGTGTATCTTGTTCCTCTATGGAACTTTGGGTCATTGGTTTGGACTACTTCTGCACTATTGTCACAACATAGCTCAATAGGCAGGCTAGTATACTCCACAACCTCTAAATCAGTGAGATCAAACTAATAGGCTTCCTTTGCCGCCTTTAAGGCTGCAATATATTCCACCTACAGGTTTGAGTCAGCAATTGAAATCTGCTTAACAATCTACCAACTGATCTCCCTTCCATTAAGTGAACTTACACTGAGTCATGAACCTCATAGTATCTACTTCTGATTGAAAATCAGAACTAACATACCTGACTAGGACCATATCATCACATCCATAAATGAATATGATATCATTGGTTCTCCTTAGGTACTTAATGATATTTTTCACAATAGACAAGTTGTCAAGTCCAGTATTGGACTGATCTCTACTGACTATCCCTACTATGTAGCGGATGTCCTGTTTGGTATGGACCATGGCATATATGAGACTCTCATATGCCGAAACATATTGTTCCAGTCTCATTTGCTCAATCTCCTTTGATAGTCTTGAAAAACTACTTACTAGAGAGAGCCATCCATATAAATAAAGCAAGAACTTATTCTTTGAGTTATGCATACCAAACCTGGTCAAAACTTTATCAATGTAGGATTATTAAGATAAGCCTATTTTCCTTTTAACCTGATCTTGCAAAAGCTTGATCCTAGGAATATAGCTTACATCTTGAAATTCCTTCATTTAAAAGTAATTGAACAACTACCTTTTAATTGATGACAAAACTTCCACGTCATTATAAATGAGTAGGATGTCATCAATATATAGAATTAAGAAAAATAATGACATTCCCTTGTACACTCATGATTTATTCACTAAGAAATCTTCTGGTATCTTTTTGTAGATTAACTTGCCTTCCATAGGAATCACCCTACTAGAAAGTTCTACAAGATCCCAGAATTTATTAGAATACATAGATTCCAACTCTGATTTCATAGTAACTCACCAAAACGATCTGTATCCACATCGGTTCACGCTTCCGTGTAGCTTACTGGGTCCAACTCATGTTTAACAGGGATGTCCATAATGGTCTCACCTAAAAACATGATTCTGTCGAATTGGATGATAATCCTCCCACTACATCAATGTACCGATGCAAGAATCTGTGTAGTAGATGATGCTAACGCATCAATCGGGAATTCATATATTATTCTCAATCTCTATAATAAGTGTGTTCACATGTGGTACATCTGGTACTCATACCAAATTCTCTAACATTATGCTACTAGGTATGTGATTCATAATTTGATTTTCCTATAGATAAACAGTGAGTGAAAACAATCAACTTTTATCTTTGAGATCATAAAATAATCCATCCTAGTGACATTTAGAGTAGCTATCAAATCTAGCGTGCCTATGATCTGATTCCAACTTACTTGTCCATATCAAACGCACGTGTGCAAGACTACCCCATATGTGCATATGATTCAAACTAATATTTAGTCAAAAACACAGCTCAACGGTATCCTTGAGACAGACTAAGATGGAATGCAGTTCATAATGCGCATCGATGTCATTAACGCTAAACTCTTAAATGAAAGAGATAATGTGGCAT